TTAGTAACACAAGATTTAGTAATAAATAAACGATTTTGGAAGATATTCTATGATAGTTAATAATAAGCTTATGTACATACGTACACGAGTAACATTTAAAAACAGTCACATGATGAAATTTGGAAACAATTAATGATGAAGATCGTTGATCGAGCTCGTTCTTGCTCTAGCAATAAGAAATTTGGAAAATTCGAGAAAAATTTTAATATATATTAAATATATATATATATATATATATATATATATATGTATATATATATTTCTGTTTTCTGTTACTTTTTCAAACGAATATTTAATATTTAGCTTCAAAGTTCAAATTTCGCTGAAATAATTGATGAATTAAATAATTCATTACAAGTACGTAAATCAGTATAAATCGATTCTATCACATATCAGAGACACTCACGTCTATCGCATTACACAGAATAATCTGTTCAGTTGCATATACCTACACGCGTGCGCGCGTATGTATGTTTATATGGTGTAAAGAGAACGTACATGCCATTCGACATCATAAAAATATAAATGATCAAATAAGTTGCAAATGTGGTGTGTAAGGAATATTACAGCGGCTTGCTGATGTCATAGAATTGATGACAAATCTTGATGTAAAATTATGGTTAGAACTAACCGACACAGCACGGAGGCGAATAAAGGTCAAGTTACTCATTTCCAATCACAACGGCACGTGGTAGGTAAAGAAGCCATAGTCGAAGGAAAATAGTACATATTATTTTCGACCCATTTTAAAATCTGCTTTCTCGATTATTTAAATAGTAAGCTAATACTAACTCTAAGAATAACAAATAAATATTTTTCGAAGCTTATGTGTTTTATCAGTGATTAAATCTGTATAATTTTTTATTGAAATCAACTTTCAATAAAACCATAGAAACGATAAACCAAAAAGTAAAACTCAAATAATTCAATAAACGAGGATAATCGAGATTCTACTCATTATCAAGAAGGAAAAAAAAATATATATATATATGAAAATACATCAATTTTAATTCCTAAGTACTTTCGATCGATTATTGTTTTTTCAAACGCATCTGGAATGTATTCTTTAATTAGATTCAAAATGATATGTATAATTATTGCAGATTACAGCCGAGGAAAATTTGGAAAACAATATCTTATTTTTTTAGACTGATCCAATTTTGTCTTCTTAACTCACTCGTTGATAATCCAAGAATCGATACAGTACCGACGTAAACATTAATAATAGCGATAAGTATTTCCTACTGTCAATAAGGATTCGTCACGGAGCGATTTATCGCAACAATTTTCATGTCCTCATCGCATTCCAGACGTAAATATGAGCGTCGCGTTATGTAAAAATTGCAGAGACATTGAGAAATATTACCTGGAAGAAAATCCACATGGGAGAAGAAAAGGAAGAAGACACGAAAAAAAAAACGTTCTAATCAGGTCTACGGGTCATAAATAGCAAAACCAACAGAGCACTGGATATCGAGCGTGTTTTTATTCACACGTCAAGCAAAAAATCTGTTCACAGAGGCTTCATACTGTCGCCGGTCGCGCCACATAATTACTGCAGAGATGAAAACCGAATGTGAGTTAACAAGGAAGACAGAGACATAGAGGGAGACGGAGATCTGGAGAGAGGGAAACTGCGGTAATTCTGGACGGATGAGGGAAGATAAAGAATGGAAAGAGAGAAAAATGCGAGAGCAAGGCCGAATTTGAAACGACAGAACGTTTCGACAGAACGATGAACAAATAAAAATCAAGAGTAAAAAATTACGATGCAGTTAATCTCAACTATGATATATTAAAATTAAAAATTTATAAAGGAAAATTATGATTTTACGTGCAGTGCGAAAAAAAAACATGTGCCATAAAGAAACGACGAATTCTAAAGAAAATCATAAAAGAACAGATACGTAAAAAAAATCAAGAAAAATTTAAAACACAAGTTAAAAAAATTCCAAAATTAATGCCGTAAAATGACGTAAAACAAAACAATGAAATCGAAATAGCGCGCTCGTGCTAACTGTACCCTAACTGTTGCGGAACGCACGTGACGGCGAACGGAAACTGATGAAAATCAAGGCTAAATCGGTTTCAAGGTCTCATAAGAGGCACTATTCCAAAAATACCTAATTAAAGAATTCGAACAACCACGTGCATGATCATTTGAATTAATCTACGAATACTAAGAATAATGTATACCTACTATTCCCAAGGTAGACTTTTCATGTGACCATATTTGAGCACGTTTATCGAACAAAAGTCGAGCTAACGATAAATGACTTTGTAAAAGAAGCGAAAGTGAAAGATAAAAGGAAATATTTATAGGGATTAAAAATTTGGCAGATCTAAAAATGAATGCATATAGTAAAAGCTATTTCGCTTGCCCTTTCTCTCGTGCACGTGCACTCGGCAACGACGATAAGTGCGCGCGCACTCGAGTGTACGTACACACAGGTGGTTCACGCGGTGAATCTAACATTACCTAAGAGGCAGCCCTTATTGTTTAAGGGCGTAAGAGATCGATCGTCCTTTCGTGACTTCACGCATGGTTCGATCACGGTTGCACCTTCGTGAAGAAAGACTTTCGTGACAAAGGTCGACGAATGTCATAAATTAAAAAGTTATCTATAGATCATGAGACATATGTGATAAGTATATATCAAGTATATATATATATATATCAAGTCCATAAATTTCAGGCGTTCGTACGTTTTTAAGGTTTACCAAATTTCTCGAGAAAGTTCAGCAGTGCCTCTCTTTCTTTCAGGATTTAAAAGATAACTGAAGATCTTATTTAAAAAAAAAAAGTATAGGTCTTTTTAGATTTCCTTAAGGCATTCTGGAAATTTGAATCGATTTAGAGAGATTGTGTCATAAAGATAACAGATGCAATTGCATCGAGCTTGATGATAGCCAAGGCTAACTGCTTTTTATAAGAATAGTCATATAGTTGTCGCGAGACGCATGAAGCTCGATTAACGGAAGGAGGGACTAACTATCTTGAACATTGAGACGATGACAGAGTTATCGCTTTCTCGCCTGATACCACATGCACTCTGAGACGCGTTCTACGTGGCAACGATATCGATGTCGACTATCTGTAGTCATTATCTATAATCATTTGAGTGGCATAAATCAAGCGCTATTTCGCACGATCATGAAGATCTAAAATAAATCAACCTTTTAACTAATTTTGGTGAATTTATCATCAAAAAGATATTTCCTTCTCAATTATCATTATTAAAAAAATTAACATTGTTTGTGGCATAAAGCATTTCATAGTTCATTCTCGTTTCAACATTCGCACGATAGATCAGATAAACATCAGATATTTTTATAACCAGCTGTCCGAGCAAATGTTTCTAGCTATACACAATACACAGCTGCATCTGCATTACGGATCACACGTGCGTGCAACAATAACAAATATAAATGATCAATTAATATTTCTTGCAATATTTTTTGCAGTAATTGCGACGATTATCTCATCTTTTTAATGCTAAATCTCAAAATGACTTAGATTATATGTATACAAATAAATATTCGCTAAAACAATATACTTAAATAATTTGAAAGTGAGATACACAATACGAATATAGTTGTGACAACGTTCAAGTTGTGTAACTATAAAAATCGTCAAATAAAGGCGGTATTAAAAGAACTTTAAAAATATATTATACTCGGTATGAAAAAAACTTTAAAAATATAGTACATGACTATTATATTCATATACAATACATACACACATACACACATGATCTGATAATCGTCATGTTCATGTTACGTTTAAAAATATTTTTTTTTTTTATGATTCAGCATATCAAAAACTATAAGAAAACATGCAAAAAAGTTTCCTCGCTTAGGTCAAAATATAGTTATTTTACTTATCGCATTGAGATTATGCTCTTTTACCATTAAGGGTTGATTGTTTCACTTTCCGACAAACTGTGGTAATTTATCTAATGGATAAATGCCTGTCAACAGCTAATGCTATTGGACCATTCACTTATCTATTAGATAAATTATCGCATAATTTATCTGGAAATGGAACAATCGGTCCTAAGTGACACATTCAGATTTGTCAAATATCAAATAATAACATTGTCTGCAGTAAAATTAATATACAGATTGTTGACTTACGAATCTCTAACATACGCCTTATGACGCGAAAATGATATCGGTTACTAAAGTGCATGATAATAAAACGCGAGATTGTTACTTGGGATTACATATAATTTCATTGTATCGGAAATTAGTGATATAAAATTTTGTCGCGATAAAGTAGCGCAGTCAATTTCAGCATATTAACCTATTTTCATATTTATCATTAAATATATTTATCATAAAAATTTTTCAAGTAGCGCTTTATTAATGTCTATTTTAAATTCATAATATTTTACATTTTGTAAAAAAATTGATATCGATGTGTGTATGTGTGTAAAATTAATATTAATAATATAATTAAGTATATATATACATATATCTCTTAACATGTTATATATTAAATATTTTTCTCAATCAGCTAAAAACTGTTGGATTCCATAATTCTAGGTGTGAAACAAACGTATTGACACGGTATCACAATAATAGCATAACTGTGTTGTTATGATAATGACTGAAATAAGAAGACAGGGCAAGGTCCATCCTGCAAAGATAATGGCGCATGTTATTTCCTAAGTATGTTTAATTTTGCGAAACATAATAAATATAAATAGAAATAATGTTTCCATGTATGAAAATGAGATTAAATTTCATGCTAAAAATCAACTCTCAAAAAATCAATGATAGCAGCGAACGCAAAAAGTAGTATCATATCTAAAAGATGTATGATTTAAGGAGAACAATAACTAAACAAAAAACAAAGCTTTGACATACGGCAGAACTGTGTACCCAGAATTATGTATCCAGAACTGAGATATACAACCTTGATTTATAAACAGCGCAATGAAATCATAAAAAAAATAGTAAAATCAAATAAATTTGTAAATTAGGTCTCGCCATACCTTGTTAAAGCACTGGGTAATTCGACCTTGACAGGTAGTCTTAATTTATGCATTTTACTTTATACGTACACACACTACTATGTCATTTACAGTACAGTTTCCTCTTTGCCTCTTTCTTCTCTCTCTCTCTCTCTCTCTCTCTCTCTCTCTCTCTCTCTCTCCCTCCCTCTGTTACTCCTGCAGCCAGGTGCGTAGACGCACATACACGCGCTTACACGGCTGCATGTAAAGCGACGTAACGGGAAACATAACCAACAAAATATGTTTCCAAATACGAATCGCTTTCTTTAAAAAAAAAAAAAGAAAGGATGGAGGAAGGAGAGAAGAGAGTGAGAAAGAGAACAAGCATGGAGCGTGAGAAAGAGAGACCAAGAGAGTAAATCAGAAAGAGAAAGAGAGAACGTAGTAGAAACAAGAGGGCTACACAACACTAATCAAAACGACACACGAACGAAACTAACCAACTATATGGAGGAGCGGGGGAGAGGGCACAGTCTAGTGAATGATTTTACATGGGCACTGGACGGCAAACGACTCCTCTTCGAGCTCGCGCTCGTCTCTCGTCAACGATGGATTCTCGGGATAAAATCTTCGACACAGATTCATTAGAGTCACTATTAGCCGCACATGACGGGGGAACGAACGAACGAACGAACAAACGCGCGGTATTAAATATAACTTTGCTCCGTTCCGTGCGTTACGTATCGGTTGAACGTTGGACGACGCCACCGGTGACGCGGGTGACGACGACTGTGACGAGTCAGACGAGTGGCGATCCGCGAGCATCACACGCTCACTCGCTCCCACACATACACTGACTACACGCCGTCTATGCGCACACTTCGACCATGGTTTGCACAAGTATCCCAGATGTGACGTTTCACTGAAAAAAAGGACCGAGCGAAGATGGCGTCGTCCTGTTCGTTGTCGCGTACTATCGCGCACCTTCGCGGAATAGATAACGAAGAACAGAAAGCATAGGGTATAAAGTATACGCTTCTATGCGCGCGTGTTCGTTTCTTCAAACGACTGATCGGCCGCGCAGCGATGCGAGCGCATCAACGACGGTCGTGACAATTAAAGAGCTGCAAGATACCGACTGTTACCTACGACTGCAGATATCCGCCGATAATTCGAATCGTTGTAACTATTGTTTCATATTGCAATACGATTATAGAATTGATTTTGAAGATGTCGAATTCGCTAATTTACAAAACTTGACCTTGGCTTTAGCATTAATCCCAGTCAACTAAATTGTTAATTGTCACTGTCCATATTATATATGACCCACATTAAAAAAAAAAAAAAAAAAAAACAGATGATTGATTCGACTGTAGTGTTAATCGACATAGCTTATATAGGTTTCAAGATGATTTAATTGTCTATCATCGTGCACTTAAAAAAATAGAATTAATAGGTTAGCAGTATTATTCATGAAAATAATACTAACCAATGGAAAGAATTATTTTCCTAGCTCCTTTCTTCAAATAACAAATGATAGAATAGAAAAGAACAAGTAATTTATTACTTGTTAATATCCCTACATCGTCCTATTACTGATGTTACATCACCGACATTAGTGATTGAAAGACGTATTTGCGATCTCATAAAGTATTAAGTACCTACGTGCGTCAATGAGATGTGAGCGATGAAAAATGATATAAAATTAGCGATGAAAATATTGCTTTATTCAAAGCAGATGAGATACATTATTGATGTCGTTGCTCGCAAATCTGGCTGGAAGTACAAACGCGACCATAATATACGATCTGATCCTTTCTTCGAGTGATGATTGGATAACGCATAATGTAACTGTAATAATAAAATAATGAATAATATGATAAATAACTGACAATAATACGTCTCACGAAATGTAGAAATGTAAAATTGCCAAGTAATAAGGAAAGCAAAAATTAAAGGTGGCTGCACTACAGCGAGATTATTACAATTGCTATAAGTTATTAAACATGTTATTGTTAAATCTACGAATTATGTCATTGTCTTTCTACTCTGCATCATGAATCCACATCATTAATCCGCTGATCATAAATAAAAATTGAGTAAACTAATGACTTGTTTAATTTTTTGTGATAAACAGCCAATAAAAAGTTTCCTGTAATACAATTCCTAATTTACTTGTAGATGATAGAAAAGTAATTAGATTAATTAACAGTAGCACGTTTTATTAATTATTCTTTTAATCATAATAACGTATTTTATTCGTGCAACTCAAAATTGCCAAAGCAAGGCAAATACATAGACAAATATAGATACGAAACGTATATACATACAAAGACTCTTTGTTGGGAGAGAAACGAACGGATAATCGCTTACCTAAGCAACGCTTTCCTCCAGCAGTAGTCCGTTTCGATAACGAGCAACTGTAATTTCATCATATATGCAGTGGACGTGGTTCAAGGCATATAAATATAATCATATAATAATGATTCTTCTTCGTTTCTCTCGCCGAAAATTCTCCTTCATCTCCAATTCTTTCTTTTCCTGCTCCTCCTTTTCTTTTTTGTGTCGAAGCGATGAAGGAGCGATTCCGCGTTATCCGAGTTGCGATTAAGCCGTACACGACCCAATTATTCAGGTCTGTATTATCGATCAATTGGAACGAAGCACACGGAACGAAGCAAACCGCGACGCGTAAACGCCCTTTTTTCCTGCTTTCTCTTTTCCTATCGAAAACGAAAGAAGATGCAAGTTTCCTCCCTGGGAAGCGCACGGAATGACACACTGCACAACAGTTGAAGATGTGTTAAACGTGATGACGACCGCTCATTTGGTGAAAGCGGCGAAAACGGAAGCGCGCGAATTGTGCGAGATCTCAATCTCAAAGAGAATGTTTTCTAATCATCTTCGTAACTTTTTGCCGTTATATGTCTCTATGCGCTGTTGTTTTTTCACACCAAAACTTAGGTAATGACGAAAAGAAAAAAACAGGAGGGAAGCCCGCCTGACTAGCTAGCTGCCGTCTTGCTACCGATGTGACATACGTGCTTCTCCGTCCAATATCCGACGCGTCGCGACGCTAACGAAGGCGCACGCGCTACCTCATAGATTGCTCCGTTTCTCCGTCACGAAATGTTACGGAGTTACCAGTTGGCTATATTAGTGACGTCATGCAAGACAAGGGCATCAGTTCACTCTGGTTCACTCACAAATTTTCGGCAGCTGTACAGGACCAACTCTCCACAAGAGCATGAGCAGTCGGGATGCATCCATGAAGAACCACTGAATCTTTTTTTCTTTTCCCGAGGATAATATTTCTAAAAAGAACAATGAATACAGACAAATGTAATATGGCACAATAAATATGTATGTATGTGTGTGATTATAAAACAAAATTCTTATTTATATTGTATATATAAAAGACAAAAAATATGGATTTTACAAAATAAAAATAAACATTCCTATATAATTTAAAACTGAAATGAGTAGAATTACTGATATCGTTATTTTTAGTCGAACCAAGTTAATATTATGTATTTATTAAAATTTTTGATTAGTGAATTAAATTTTAAAGATAATTCTCTTATGTAAAAATTTAAATTAAAAAATTCGTCGAAACTGAAAAGTATAAGATTCGCGAAGACGATTAATTAATTTTAAAAGAATGGCTAAGGTAATTTCAACGTTATAACGTAGATAGATACAACTCGTACATTTTAACATTATTTTTCTTGATTTTCTCGAAAGAATACAAATAAGGATTTTTCACGTAAAATTAGAAAATATAAAAGAGAACAGAGAGAACACTTTAGTAAAAATTCCGTTAGAAACAGACAGAATGCGTTGTTTCACTATACGCGGTTTTTTCTCTCTGCAGGACAGAAGCTGATGAAAAGTATTAATTGCAAGTTCCAACAGACCGGTAAACGCAGTAAAGGCAGTGAGAAAGGCTAACTGTTTGTAACTGATTCCTTAATAGAATGGAACTTATTCGAATTTATGAGCAAACGTAATTACAAATCCTATCCAATTTCTACACATTTAAATACACATTTAGTTTTGAATAGGTATATCTATCAGCATCTGATTGAAAAATCTGATAGGATATCTATCTACAAGATGGTCTATAAATTGATAGAAAATTTAAATGTTGAATTAATTATTATAGTACTGATTCATAGTTATATATATATATAT